CAGTCTAGACCTGACCTGAAAAGTGTCCTGAGATAACTTCTGTTATGAATTGGCGCTATACAAATAAAACTGAATTGAAATTTAACTACAATCCCTTAAAATATCTTTAATTCATTCTCAATTTTTCCGTGAAATCACAGCAAAAACCTTTATTTAAATGAAGGAGTTTGATTTGTTTTCTTTCCCTTCGTTTGTTCCTAAGTTTGAATGAATGAATGAATGAATGAATGAAGTTTTAAGACGTCACTTAATGATCAGGTGTTATTAAAGGGTTTCAGTTTACGATAGCTGCTGATTATTTACATCTGAGTTCATGTTAGCCAGTAAAATAGTTTGGTGGTTGTTAGCTGATCAGAGCAGATTAAGTTCCGGTTATAAAACCATTAATTAACTCAAACAGTGTAGATCAGGATAGCTAACAGTACGGTTCAGCTGTTGCTCTGCTTCTGTTGGACAGAATATCTTCTGAATGGAAACTTTAAGGTTTATTATCATTTGTATACAACAATTGTCTCTGTGACTAAAAAACTAATTTGGGTGATCTCTGACCTTTGACCTCTGTGTTTGTGTTGCAGCTCAGCCTCAGATCGAGCGTCTGCTGCCTCAGTGGCTCACCGGCATCATTGCCGTCTCCGCTTTCCTCTTCCTCATCTTCGTCACTTTGCTGGTGAAAAAGGCCTGGTGTGAGAAACCCAGCAGGTCGGTCAGGGGAACACAAACATATCTATGAAAAAAATTATTATTAATTAATTAAGCACAATACAAATCTGAGGTAAATTAATCTGACAGCTGCAGTGACTGGTTACTTTACTTTAAATACATAACACTATAAAATATTGCTCTGAAATGGTTAATTGTTAATCAATAATGTGTTTGTCCAGGCTTTAAAAAATATACATATACATATATTTCTGTTTTATGTTGGTCGGACAAAACTATTTCAAGTTACAGACTAAATAAACGTATTAATCGAGAGAATAATCTGCAGTTATTGATAATTATAGTTTCATTAAGGACTTAAAATGAAGGAAGAAAATGGTGAAAATTACGGAGACATCTCAATATTTTAATGCAGCTTTAAAATCTCAGCTACGTCCTTGAGAGAATTAATTTTCTCTTAAAATCTTTATTTCCTGATATTTAATATAAATAATTGACTTAAAGAAACCGATGTAGATAATGCAGTCCTAACTGAGCGTCTGTCTACAGGAAGACCGCTGTGGAGTCAGAGTCCGAGAGAGAAAATGAATTTGTGGTGACCAACGGAAACACGTACGAGACCAAACTGGACACGGTCAGGTACGACTAGCAACCTTCACATCCTTCGTTCCACTGTGGGAATTACTGAGGACGCTCTATATCGTTTACTTTTATGTACACTTCAATAAATTGGAACAACTACAGGAAACTTACAGGCAGCAGTTCAATCTGTGCTTTAATGTCATACAGTGGAGATTACTGGCAGTCACATATTAATAAAACCAAGTATTAACTTAATCAAAAATCCAGTATTAATTAACACTGATTAACAGAGGTGTGCACAGAGCCACAGATTTGATGACTGTAGACTCGGACTTGACTTGAGCCTTTTGACGAGAAAATACCTGATACATTCCCCTGAGCCCAAAGAAAAAGAAAAAGTGTCCAAATCCGTTAATTTCCTGAATCAGCTTCTGTTTATTCCCAGCAATCAACACTTCAGATCCATTTAGTTTAAACCAGTTCAACGGGCCGTCCCTGCGTTCACTTAGTATGTCTAAATGAACAGTTGACTGAATTTTGTGATGTTTTATAGACAAAGTAAAATGATAAGAACTAACAGAGTCCATCTGTATGCAGGAGGAAGAGCACTGCGGAGTCAGCGAGAGAAAATGAATTTGAAAGCACCTACGAGACCACACTGGAGATGGCCAGGTAGGACCAACATCATGACCAATCACATGAAAGAACTTCATTTCCCAGATCCTCTGAGTTTAAACCAGTTCGACAGCATCCAGTAAGGTTGCAGGAGAGAACCACGAAGAACAAATGGAAAGAGCAGAGAGAGGCAACAGTAGCATATTCATCAGTTATCAGAATCATATATATATATATAATCATATATAATATTTATTTGGTAGACAGATAGTCGGCGTTGGATTGAAGAGATGCTGAACGGGTAGATCTGCCCACAGAGCTCCATCCTGCTGTGTGCTCTACATTAATCTTACAGCTGTAGTTAACTCGTTAAACATATTTCACTTTATAAAATATTGCTCTGAAATGATTATTAATCAATTATTCATTTGACAGGAAATCAATCAGCATCCATTAATTAATCGAGCAAAAATATTCAAAAAATATAAATACTGTCTCTTGTTCCTCCAAATGGGCCAGATATCTGCTTTCCTAAGGTTTTATTTATTTCTTGAATATTTTTGGGTTTCAGGTTGTTCCTCAGATAAAAAAAGACATTTTAAAACGTCACCTTGAACACCCCTAATTTACAGATTAAATTACAGATATTTTTCAGAGTTTATATTCTTAAAAGTTTCATAATAATGAAATAGTAGCATTAGAGTGTGATTGATAAAGCAGCCGATATATTGACCAGTAGAGCAGCGACTGCAGTGTTTGGGACATTTAACATATCTTTGATATTTCTCTGTGTGATCTCAACAATTCAACAATTCAACAAATCCTGGTGAATTCTGTGTGACCTTATTGTTGGTAGGACAAAACATCTGAACATGTCATTTTCAGACTGAACTGTTGATTCAGTGAATAATCAGCTGAGTAATTGATAATTATAATAGTTAAAGTCTTAAACTAAAGGAAGCAAATGCTGAAAATCTCAATATTGAAATTGTTCTTAATGTACAAACACAGACTAACAGCATAAATAGACATAAATTAATATGTACAGTTATACGTCTATATAAGCAAACAAAAAGCATTTTTAGACAGTAGAGCAGTGCTGATGTTTCTGAGGGTTGTGTTGACAGTGCAGCGCCGTTGTTCCAAAAAACAACTCAGTATCACCAAACCACGAAACTATTCATCTCGTTTCGTTACCTAAACCGATCCAACCTGCGACATTCACAACGTTAAGTTTGTTTGTTATTACCATTAGGGATAGTAATTGATCAGATTTTATCGATACCATTGTAGATTCTGCTGAAGATATTAAGGGGAAAGAACTCCAGGGAGAGAGTTTATCAGATAAATGGGCCTTCGGAGCAGTGGACTGTTGTTTAAAAAAATGGGCCGTCGGACAAATGCAGGGAAATTTATTGGACTATTGGGGTTTGGGAATAAATCTCAGCTGTGGATAAAAACAAGAGTTGTTCTTAAAATCTTAATTCACTGATATTTTATGGACCAAATCAAATAATTAAATCAGAATTAAACAATGGATAGATTTAAAGAAATGAATGATTATTAATGCAGTCTAACAGAGTCCATCTGTATGCAGGAGGAACAGCACTGTGGATTCAACTAGAGAAAATGAATTTGGAAACACCTACGAGACCACCCTGGAGATGGTCAGGTAGGACCGACATCACGACCAATCACATGGAAGAATTGTCACATTTAAGGACAATAATCGAATAATCTTTTCACCCTGACAGAAGAAAAAGAAACTGTACTATTTTGCTGGAATTTGCATTTATTAATTTCTGTTTGTCCATCAGGAGCAAAGAAGAACCAAACGCCTTCGACAACCTGGCGTTCAGCAGTGCTGGAGATAAGGTTACGTCCATGTGACCGTCCTGAACTGATCCTATTGGATGTCTCATTGCCGTCGGCACCAAATCTGGACCGAGACAAAACTCACAGAAAATTCATTTTTATAAAGAATAATGAACATTTACAGATGATGTTTCTTTGTGTTAATATTAGCTTTGTTTAGTTGGACCTGTTGTCCCAGGCGGGTGGAGCTTACGATGAGGAGCTTCAGATATCATCCATGTTGAATTTTTCTCAGTTTTCATCTTTAAATGCAGCAAAATGAACTTAGCAGAACGTGTAACATTTTATTGATTTTTAATCTTTTGTCACCTGATGGCTTGAACTGGATCAATATGTGTGTCAGTGTTTGCCTGACTCTGTAAAAGGTCTCCAGTCACAGACTGAGATCAGTAAACACGAGGGAAAGCTGCTGTCTGTCCTGTGATCTGATTAATAAGTTATCTTTTCTAACAAACTGCTGTGTCGGCTCTCATTACTGATCAATGAAAGAATAACCTGCCATTAATAATTAAACACGACAGAAAAGTCTCATTTTCCAGAAAACAGACGGTGACCTCTGACCTGTGGTTCCTGAGTCGGTCTGATGACGTTCAAACAGATTACAGTTCAAAAAGAGTCCAACAAAACACAGCTCCATTGATGAATCAATGGATATATTGACCAGTAGAGCAGCGACTGCAGTGTTTGGGACATTTTACGTATCTTTGATATTTCTCTGCTGATATTTACTGTTACTGAAGTTCTGGGACGAGATTATAGAGTCACTGCAGGAAGTTGTCTCAACATCTCAACTGGTGAATTCTGTGTGAGTCATTTTCAGACTGAGCAGTTGATTGATTAATAATTGGGTAGTATTTGATAAATAATAGTTAGTTTAACTGTAACAGATAATAAGATTTCACTGACAATAAAATACATTTACAGTTATGCTGTCATAAACAGAACTAATCTTCAGAAGAGAACCTAAACCCAGACTCAGGTCCAGGTCCAGGTGGAGCAGTCTCAGTGTGTCTGCAGAGACTGTAGTCCAGATACACTGATGATACTCTGTCACATGATCCAGAGGAACACACAGGGAGCTGATCTCAGAGCAGTTCAGACTGCAGCACTGAGAGTCATCTCCACTGGTTG